CGGCAATTGCGGGGCGTGGCTGGTCGGCGGCTGCAGGGCGGGACGGCTCGAGCCCCAAGCGCCGAGGGTCGACTGCTGCAGGGCAGGCCGGCGCGAGCCATGGGTCGACGGCTATAGCGGGAGGGCGTTGCGGCGGCAGCTGCGGGGCGGGGCAGCGCCTTGCGCTCGGCGGACGGAGCGGCGCGAGAGCACGGGCCAGCTTTGGGACGAGCGCGTGTGTGCACAGGTAAGCTCGAGCGCATAGTGGGCGCGACCGGCGCGGCGGACACGGTGGGGCCGTGGTCGGACAGTTTTTGGGATAGTCTGCAGCGTTGGACGCCTCCAACAAAAGCTGGGTATGGACGTCCGTTTTCTAGACGCAAACGAACAAAATCCGAACAAGACGGACGTCCGTTTACGGTCTAGCGTATAGTCCGTCAAGAGAAACAATTAGAGGCAAATATGGACAACAAACACATATGTACACATGTCCTCGTGAAGCTACCGCAGTACACAAAAGCCCATCTTATCTCTAAGAGACATACCGTCCTACCCACCACCACTCATTTCTATTCCCTTCTCATACCCCAAAACCAAATCGCCCCCTTTCTCTTCATCTTCTTCGCCATAGGAGCAGCCACAACAGCAGAGCACATGGCGGCGGCCTTTAACTCTCCAAGGCTAGCCTGCAGTTCCCCCCACAGCAGCAGATCACGCCCGTGCGCGCGCACCCTAGGCCGCCCCCTGCCTCCTCCAACCGCGCAAGCAGGCCAAGCCGACTCCCGCCCCCATCTCCTATCCTGTCTTCCCCTTCTCTCTCTAATCTCTCACATGTTTTCTCCAGGGAGCCCGCCATAGAGACACCACCCCTTCGTCTCGTTCCGTCTGCCGGTGTTGGCCGGATCTGCCGGCCGCTGCTAGTGTCCTCCAAGGAGCCCGCCATGGAGATCGCCGCCTCTCCCTCTCATCCGTCCACCGCTGGTTTCCTTCAGGGACCCGCCATGGAGGTTGCCGCGTCTCCCGTCTCGATCCGTCCGCCACCGGATCCATGGCGGAGCAGCCAAGATCCGCCGCCCAGGCGAGCGCCCATCGATGCCGCTGGTGTCCCTTGGTCTTTCCATCGATGTCGCGAGGCACATCGTGGCTGCGTTTTTCTCCCCTTCGTACCGGTTCGATTTGAATTGCGGGTTGAATACCGATAAACGCAGGGACCTTTCTGCAAATTTGCCGCAACGGCGAACCCGACGGAGTCAATCCGTGCTTTATTATATTAGGGAAAGATGTCCACATTTTCTTATAGAATTTTGTTAACATATTCACATTAAAAGAAACAGTCACAAATCTCATGTTTGAGACACTTCGCATGTCTAAAACGTCATCTATTTATGAGCACGGGGGTACCTTCCATTAGCTTGAGAAATGCAGTTTCTCTTCTTCTCTAATTTATTTTGGTATTGTCTTGGTGACTGGATTTCAATCTTGATATTTCAGGATGCAAAAAAGGGTGTTCTCTTCCTCGATTTCCCCCCTGTTTTGCAACTTCAGCTGAAGCGTTTTGAGTACGATTATATGAGAGATACCATGGTTAAGGTTGGGACTGTCATACCTTGCTGATTCTTTTATCTATTATTTTACTTCTATAGTTTTCTACATATTGAAGCGGTTGCATATTCTTTACATTATTTATGTACTCCCTCCGTCCCAAAATGAGTGTCTCAACTTTGTATAAGACACTTATTTTGGGACGGAGGGAGTACATAATACCTGGTTTGTGAAAGTAACAAATGATGTGATTTGGATATTTTTATGGAATATTGGAACCGTAAGAATCACCAATTGTTTCCATAAACACATTATCTTTGAAGCAGCACAAGGTTGTGGAGCAGCTCCTCCACCTTTGTTGCTAGAAAGTGTACATCACAAGTGTTGAAAGAACTACTTCAACTTGGTGCGCTAGATATCCCTCTAGAGGTGAATATACTCCGATATGGCAGCAGGTCAATAAAAAACTCCCAAAGCACAAGATGTAGTCCAAGATCTTAGACAAGAACACATAGTTCTAATATAGGTAATGGGTACATAGGCTGAGTTACAAACTAGAGGTATGGACCTCTATTTATAGGGCTTTGGAAACCTTCGCATCTCAACTTCTACTTATAGCTAGAAAACATTACGTGAGATTCAACATTCTACTCATAGCTAGAAGACTCTAGAAAACAATAGCCAGTGCTAACTGCTAAGAAAAGAAAAGCAAATACTAGACAGAGGAGTAGAATTATCTAGAAGTAGTCAAACAGATTTGACTTCTGTTTTTTCTTCTTCTGTTACTTCTCTCTATTGTTCCTCACCAATCTTGCATTAAATTATTTATGTATGTATGCATGTGTGTTCACCCTATTGCTGTACTAAATACTTTAGAGCTACTTTCACACATGGCTGCCAGTGTGCAGCATTTGAGCTAGGCCAGGTAGACTCAGCTTGAGCTCGAAACTATACTGACTTCGATCTTGAGCTTAGCTTGGTAACTCACATATACTAGTGGATACCCCAAGCGTTGCAATGAAAAGTTGAGCAAAGATTTCTCTATAAGAATAACAGCTTAACAAGTATACCACAAACATGATTGAAAGAAAATGAGAACATGATCATTTAGTTTATGCACATATCATTTTTTTACAACGGATGCATAACAACAAATAAATAAATGTCTCAACTGTTGACATTTTGCATGTACATCTTGGCAGTGATTAAACACTGTTCTGAGTTAAGAACCTTTTTTTACCACCTTCCCTAGTCTCCATTAGGTATGAAGGTTATACCAAAAACAAATTGCAAAGGAGAAAAATCGTACGACCTAGTTATGCTAACCTCAACCTGTAGGTGCCCCTATAATCAGAGGTACAATCGGCAGGTTGGATACTTGAGTGTCATAGACACATTATCTAAAGCACCCAAATAACCTAACCAATTTATCTTCACTGCCTCAAAATTTCTTGTCTAAACGCTGCACTTAATATAAAAGGTAGTTTGTCAGAGTTTCGTATATCAAGCAAAAATTAAAACGGTACCAACAAAGTATTTGGGAAAAGCTTCCTCTTATAATATTTCCTTTGGCTGCTGCTTGTGTCTCCTTCAATTCGGCTTATGGTTGCTGCATATATCCATTTGAAAAATTTGATGAAAAAATATGTCATGTGGTGGGCCTTGGAGAAACACAAAGTCCCAACAAAGTACATTACCCTCATCAAGGATATGTACGATAAGGTTGTGACAAGTGTTCGAACAAGTGATGGCGTCACCGATTGCTTTGGTGATATCGTTGAAGATGTGAGCTATCAAATCAAAGCCAGATGGATGAAGTGGCGCCAAACTTCTGGCGTTATCTGTGACAAGAGAGTGCCACAAAAGCTAAAATGCAGGTTGTATAGGACAGACGATTCGACCCACAATGTTGTATGGCAGTGTTGGTCAACTAAAAGACGACATGTTCAACAATCAAGTATATCGGAGATATGCATCTTGAGATGGATGGTGTAGCCACACAAGGAATGATCGGGTTTGGAATGATGATATACATGATAGAGTTGGGGTAGCACCGATTGAAGAGAAGCTTGTCCAACATCGTGTGAGATGGTTTGGGCATATACAATGCAGGCCTCCAGAAGCACTAGTGCATAGCGGACTGTTAAAGCGTGCTGATAATGTCAAGAGAGGGCGGGTAGACCAAACTTGACATGGGAGGAGTCCAAAGGACTGGAATATCACCAAAGAACTAACCAAGAATAGGGGTGCGTGGAAGTTAGCTATCCATGTGCTAGAATTATGATTTGGTTTCGAGATATGGGCTTCAGCTCTAGCCTACCCAACTTGTTTGGGACTAAAGGCTTTATTGTTGTTGTCTTAACCTAAACACGAAATACACTAGACCTTCTTACCCTCTCCACCCTCTTTAAATTGGTGGATAGTAGAGATATCTCATGAAACATCTTCAAGAAACCTAAGTATCTTGAATCAACAATGGTCATAATTTTGTAGTCATAGAACTAGCTATGGACAGGGGTGCGTGGATTGTTGTTGTTGTTGTTGTTGTCGTTGTTGTTGTCTTTTCAGATACAAAGGGAGTTAACCTAAACACGAAATACACTAGACGTTCTTACCCTCTCCACCCTCTTTAAATTGGTGGATAGTAGAGATATCTCATGAAACATCTTCAAGAAACCTAAGTATCTTGAATCAACAATGGTCATAATTTTGTAGTCATAGAACTAGCTATGGACAGGGGTGCGTGGAAGCTTGCTATCCATGTGCCAGAGCCATGAGTTGGTCGCGAGATCTTATGGGTTTCACCTCTAGCCTACCCCAACTTGTTTGGGACTAAAGGCTTTGTTGTTGTTGTTGTTGTTGTTAGAGCATAACATATCACTTGCTAAATAGGTGAAACCAAAACATGCATGTATTGTCATTCTTATGCAAGTACGTGTATTGTCAGATGCCGAATTAATAGTCAGATGCCTCTGTCCAAGTTCTATCCGTAGGTAGCATGTGGAGGGAACAAAATCTAAAGAAAATTAGAGATGGAAAGGTCTTTAGTGAGAGAACAACCGTTCTACGATCGGACACCATTAAGGTCATTGGAGGGAGAAAGAGTATCTGCAAGTGGTTTGTATGGTGTCACGACATCCAACTTTCGCCAATTGATGACACGACGTTGGTTCTTTGTTTAGGGATCTTAGTGATATGGATTCAAATCAATTGGTGGGTTAAGCAAATCCAAAACAAAGAGAGGAAATCTGTAGACTCATGTATAGCTTGTAGTACATTGACATCAATGTGCAAGTGGAGGTCCTCAAGCACTCATAATGCACCTAATTAATTAGTTCCAAGGTCTTGGTAATGCTCCAGGTTTGAGACCCTGAAAAGCTATCTTGCATGCAAAGGCTGTATAGAAAAGTTGCTAGAGTATGTTTTTATTCAACCAATTGTGAGTTCTCCTCGACACGAAGCCGACACGGAAGCCTTGTACACAACCAACCATGTGCATGCCACAACTAGTCGGGCACATCCCTCTGATCGGCGGGCAGGTGTTCGAGACGATAACTGACACGCTCTTAGGCGCATGCTAGGTGATGTAGGGCAAACCCTAAGGTGTGGCCCAATCTTCACAATTGAGGTGAATTTGGGGAAAATCATGAAGAACACGAAGAACACATTGGGAAAACACTATCGGACAAGATTCAGACCAAGATACTGCTCATACCATAGAGTCAACACAAGATACACATGAATCCAACAACATCAAAGGAAATAACTAGGTAGTTTATCCAAATCTCTAGGAGAGATGTGTCTTGAGTGGTGATTAGATCTTCTCCAATCCAAAGGATGCGGAGGTCTTGCTAATCCAAAGGGATTCTTCTCCCTTAGGAGGTCTTCACAACAATGCAAGGTTCTCCGTTAGTAGGTGTTGATCAATGGAGGGGGTGGATGAACAAAGCTCTATCAAGTTTAGTCTAGATGCTTTGCTCACCCTAGAGAGTGGGGAAAGGTATATATAGTTCTAGCCATGAAGAGGTAGGAGGGAGGAGAGATACATGGGCTGGGCCTAAATCCGTGCGTGCGGGCACAAGTTGGTTACTCTGACTGGTGTCGGACATTTCGACATGTTGGACGCTCCAATGATGGGAGTGTCCATCTCACTTGGGGTGCCTCCAAAGATGGAGTGGTCACTCTTCCTTATAGTTGGTGGTCGAGTTGATGTAGTCACCGGAGCTTCTTGTCAGACGATGTAGATGCCGGTTTGATCTTGAAGATACCTTGGAAGCATGTGCACTAGATTGCCGTCTTGAAGATGATCTTGGAGATGAAGATGACTTGCATTTGTTGAGCATGTTTTTGATGAGCTCTATTTGTGCGTCCATCTTGGTGTTGATGTAGTCCCACTTGGCATCGAAGTGATCATTGTAGGCTTAGACCGGATGTGATGTGCCTTCCCTATCCATATTGACACTCGAGCCCGGTGTGAGTAGAGAAGGGATTGAACAATACCAAAGTTACCTCTTTCTGATGTTGGTGAAGGATCAAGCGATCTCACAATTGACAATATGAAATGAATGCACTTGGTAATGAGCCTTGTCCAACCTCACACCTACACATATGGGTTATAGTGGAGCCTGGTAGGGATTAGTAGCACGGAATCAAGCAAATTAAAGTTCAAGATGTTGTCGAAGTTGGAAGCAAACCACAATGAACTCCAAATGTTATGCTAGTGTTCACAAAAGGATAGATAGAAATAAAAGAAAATCACACATAAAGATAATGAGAAAATATGCAGCTGAGTAGCTATTATCTTCTTCCACATGTTAAAAGATTAACTTTCCAGTTCTGAGCTTGTCATGCCTGCTTTTGCAGATTAATGACCGCTACGAGTTTCCTTTGCAACTTGATCTGGATAGAGATGATGGCAAGTATCTTGCTCCAGATGCAGATAGAAGTATAAGAAACCTTTATACTCTCCACAGGTGATTACTTTAATGTTATGCATTCAGTTGTAGGAACTCTGGATTGTTTGAAGTTGAAGTTGAGTAATTTGTCTATCACAGGTTCCCAATGGTTTAATATAGTAGTCTGGGGACTCACATTGCAAAAGACATTGTAACAGTAACATCTGTTTCTTTCATCTCGAACCTATTGATGAGCATAGGTTATTAGTTGCTATGCTTTAGTGGACAGGGACTTGAACGGAGGCAAATGTTTTGTTATATATGACAGAGGAGTGTTCCTGAATGATGATTCATACTTAGTCAACTATAAGAATCTGTCCACTGAAGCGCCTCCTTAGAATCTGCCAGGCATAAAAAAAGATCTCCTTGTCATATGAATTTCATATTTGTTACTAATGTTTGTCAAAATGTGTTTGTGCAAGTTCTAAATACGAATTTAAGTAATTACTCCCTCTGATCCATATTACTTGTCACTCAGACGCATATATCTAGACGTATTTCAATGCTAGATACATCTGTTTGAGTGACAAGTAATATGGATCGGAGGGAGTACTCCCTCCGTTCTTTTTTAGTTTGCGTATAACTCAGCGCACGCATACCAAGCAAGCCATCCGATGGGTTATTTTGGACTGTTTTATCCCTGCATGCAACGACCTGGAAAGATGTATGGCTATTAATACGCATGTAGCCATTGGCTCCTTTTTTCTCTATTCGTGCTTCAGTCTTCTTGGATTCTCTGCGCACGCTTCCCCTGCCTCCTCTATGCATGCATGCGTTTGGACTGTAATCACTATCCGGCTGCATGCACTGCTCTAAATTAGGGGTAAACTTGGAAACAGCTGCTGAAAAAGTGGATCACGCAGAGCATTTAAGGAAAAACAGAAAAATCTTAGACGCAGACTATTGAGGACCGGAGGGAGTACTAGTTAGGGCATGGTGTTTTCTTGGAAACCAGGCGGTAGTTCTTTTTTACAGAGCCAACAAGTCCAGTCCTGGTAAAAGCGAATTTAGTTAAATTGTGTTCCTAACCAGACAGGATCTTAACTATCTTAAGAAAATCTGGTTTGGACAATACTTGGGATCCAAATAACCTGTTGATTTATTTGTATAAACCAGTTTCTTGCAGACCAACCTATTGTGTCTAATACTAGTGTGCAAATAGGTATCATGAATTCCTTGCTACATCTTCCTTCTGTACTAATCTTGTTTATTTGCTTTCTCAGCGTTCTTGTTCATAGCGGAGGAGTACATGGTGGTCATTACTATGCATTCATACGGCCAACGCTAGCAGATCAATGGTTATTTCTCTAATGACTTTTGTGGTCTTCTAGTACCACAATTTACTCAATTAATTGCTTCTCGTTTTCTTATTCATGGCCACTTGATGGTAGCTGAATATACATGGATATACACGTGTCTCAACTTGACAACATAAACTAGCTTACTAGGACAGGTATTTGTTAGATGCTTCGCTACCATCCCAACCTAGTATCCAAAGTATCATGTGAATTGTTGTGCTTACAGATGAGAATAATGATAATCTTGGGTATAGTTTGTAAATTTGTGCAAGTATTTGTTAATTGGACCAAGTTGCTCTCTTTCCATCTCCCTCATCCAAGTTTTCATGAGATAACTGTTTCCAGGATTTTCTGTAAGCTATGACCAGTCAGCTAGCATGAACTCCATTGACTTTCTTTAGAATACATTGTCATTACTTGTTCCAATAGGTTTGGTTACTCTGACTGCACCCAGACGTGATAGACTCATAGTAGACTGTGGTATCTTAAGTTACACTTCTGGTGGTATTCGCTGCCACTGCTTGAATTGAGAGTTAGAGAGAACAACAGTTTTGCCAAGAATACATGAGATTTGTGTATCATTCAATAGACGAAGATAATTTTACACGGATGAGGTTTTATTTGGGTTAGTTTCCTTGTAGGCTCAAGTATTTGAGACCAAGGGTGTGTTTCAGATATTTTGTTTATGATGCCTAGCTAGGCAAGAACTTCTAGCTAGCACGAGGTAGAGCCTACAAGAGTAGCAAGGGAAATTATTTGGTTCATTTTACCATCTGACAAGTTAATTATAAAGATCTGAGCGTATGTTCAACCACGGCTTTGTTTTATTTGTTAGCATGACATTATGTAGCATTCACCTGATTCTTGCTGACCCAGTGTTATGTGGGCTAGCCCATCAAACTTGAGCCTTGTCGTTTAATTAGAGTAATAGGGGCAGTTCTGATGGGGTTTTGGGTGGCGGCCAAAATAAGCTGCCCCCTACCCAGCTTATTTTGGTAGCCCAACCTAAAATAAACTGCCAGAATAAGCTGGGTAGGGGCAGCTTATTTTGACAGCCACCCATATGCCCCAAAAGAACTGCCCCCCTAGTTGATTAAGCAAGTTCGTGAGGAAGGAATCCGGTTAGTTTAGAGATCTTATTAGAATTCGAGTAGATTTACCAGCTTGTCGGTCAGGTCTTGTCTACTATATAAAGGGCTGACCCCTCTCAATAAAGCAGAGAAGAATATTGTCATTTACTTTTATCTGTTTTTCAATAATTAGGGTTCTGTCAGTAGTAGATCCTTTCAGTTTTGTGTGGAAGATCAAGACCGTGGAGCAGATGAAGATCATCATGAAGCAATTTGGAGGCCTTCACATGAGCGGATGACTGGGCGCTCCTCGCCTAGCTGGTGCAGCGCTTGAGGGTGCTTGAGCAACTCTTGCTGGCCCTGCCCCCACCACTAGATTCCGTGGCTGCAACAACCGCCCACGATGCCAACTCCGCATCCCAGGCCCGCACAGTTGTGCCTCTTGGCCTACGGGGCTGTTGTGCCTCTCTGATCCTCCTACGGTTGACTCAACTCCCACACATTCCTCGCCCGCACCACTAGCATATGTTCTACCGTCAAGCACTCCAGAGCCAACCCTGACACAATAGGTTCGGGGCCCCACCCCAGCTGAGTTGGCACAACATCTTCATCAGGGCCTCAACTGCGACGAGATTTATGTTCAGGGGGTGTGCACAGTTCTTTATTGAGGCTGATGACTCCGACCACCCCCTCCTAGTAAAGCAATGAAGAATATTGTCATTTACTTTTATCTACCTTTCAGTAACTAGGGTTATGCAGTAGCATTGTTCAAAACATGGACTGATAAATCAATTAACTGGCCGATAAATCCCTTCTCAGTGGGTCACTTAGTAGCCGATTAACTGGCTGACTCGCCTATTAATCCTCTATCGCCATTCAACTATGCCCAGTTAACGAGTTAACGATTTCTACGGGAGAGCCAGTGCAGCTCTCCTGGCAGGGCAAGGATCTTGTAGCCCATTTCTGATAGTTTGCTTGGCAAAGCTAGTAGTTTATTTTCTACTCCATCCTGAATAGATGGTGTACAGTTTGAGTGATTTCATCCTGATTTAAGTGGCATGTATGTAGATACTCTGTAATCTTTCCGATTTACCCCTCATGCGCTCGGCCGAGAGTAATTATCGGCATTGCATGTGAGGAATTAAAGTGCCAACCGAGCGCATGCATACTTGAAGCAACACAAGGTTGTGTTGGAGTAACCCCACTTGGTTGCTACGAAGTGTACAACACAAGTGTTGAAGGAACTACTTTAATGTGCTGCGCTAGATATCGCTCTAGAGGCAAATATAGGCCGATATGGCAGCATGAGTTCAATTCAAAACAACTAGAGCACAAGATGTAATCCAAGATCTTAGATAAGAACACCAAGTTTGTTACAGGTAGCGGGGACCTCTATTTATAGGCTTTGGGAAGCCTTCACATCTCAGTTCTGGTTCCAAAATAGAGGCTTTAAGATGTATTCTGGTTCCAAAATAGAGGCTTTGGGAAACCAAGATGTAATCTGGTCCCAAATAGAGGTGAGGACCTCTATTTTTAGGCTTTGGGAAGCCTTCACACCTAAACTTCTACTTATAGCTAGAATACTCTAGAAAACATTACTTAAGATACAATGTTCCACTCATAGCTAGAAGACTCTAGAAAATAGTAGCTAAAGCTAGGAAAACAAGCAAATACTAGAATAGAGTAGAAGTATCTAGAAGTAGGCAAATGGATTTGACTTATGATTTTCTTTTCTTTTCCTTCTCTCTATTGTTCCTCATCATTCTCCTCTGGTTGTTTGGAACTCGACCTTTAGTTATCTTCATAGAGCGCTTCTTCTGGGTGATGGAGAGTCAAATGCGCAACATTGAATGTGTTGGATATACCCGTCTCACTTGGAAGATCCATCACATTGGCATTATCATTTATCTTCCTCATAATAGAGAAGGGCCCATACCTTCGCTGCCTAAGCTTCCTTTTAACACCTAAAGGCGGTCTTTCTTTCGGAGGTAGACCATCACCTTATCAACAACTTGAAATGATTTCAGCTTCTTGCAGTCAACAAATTGTTTATATTCCTGATTTTGTACTTTTGAAACACAAGAATTTCTTCAAATAACTCGGTGTCATTATCAACAAAGGACAATGCTGATTTTGAGTTTCCCCTTGATGGTAGCTTCACCGGGTCCACTACATGTGTTGGAACTTTAGTGTAGATAATGGAAAAGGGATTCCTTCCTTTGGATCTATGCTTGGAGTTGTTGTAGGAGAACTCTGCAAGTGATAAAGCCAAATCCCATTGTCCCTTTCTTTCTCCACAAATGCAACCAATCAGATTACCCAATAATTTGGTCACCACTTCCGTTTGTCCATCTGTTTGTGGATGGGTAGTGCTAGAAAATTTTAAGTCAGTGTTGAATTGCGTCCACAAAGTGAGCCAAAATGCAACACGAAACTTGCCACTTCTCGAAAGAATAGGTTTGCCACACGGAATGAAATGAGCCATTTTAGAGAATCTGTCCCATGACCACAAACACAACATCACTTGCTCATTCTGTTCTTGGCAAACCAAAGACAAAGTCCATAGTGATATTCTCCCATGGAGCAAACAGGAACAGGCAAAGGCATGTATAATCTTGTGTTCTGGACTTGTCCTTTGTAGGTTCGACATATGGGGCACTGCTGAACAAACTTTCCTGCACCTCTCTTTAGTTGTAGCCAAAAATAACGAGCCTCTAGGTTAGTCATAGCCTTGTCGTGTCCAACATGGCCACTAACAACAACAACAACAACAACAAAGCCTTTAGTCCCAAACAAGTTGGGGTAGGCTAGAGGTGAAACCCATAAGATCTTGCGACCAACTCATGGCTCTGGCACATAGATAGCAAGCCTCCACGCACCCCTATCCATAGCTAGTTCTTTGGTGATACTCCAATCCTTCATGTCTCTCTTAACAGACTCCTCCCATGTCAAATTCGGTCTACCCCGACCTCTCTTGACATTCTCCGCACGCTTTAGCCATTCGCTATGCACTGGAGCTTCTGGAGGCCTTTGTTGAATATGCCCAAACCATCTTAGACGATGTTGGACAAGCTTCTCTTCAATTGGTGTTACCCCAACTCTATCTTGTATATCATCATTCCGGACTCTATCCTTCCTCGTGTGGCCACATCCATCTCAACATATGCATCTCCGCCACACCTAACTGTTGCACATGTCAGCCTTATAGTCGGCCAACAGTCAGCGCCATACAACATTGCGGTCCGAACAGCCGTCCTATAGAACTTGCCTTTTAGCTTTTGTGGCACTCTCTTGTCACAGACAATGCCAGAAGCTTGGCGCCACTTCATCCATCCGGCTTTGATTCGATGGTTCACATCTTCATCAATACCCCCATCCTCCTACAACACTGACCCCAAATATCGAAAGGTGTCCATCTGAGGTACCACCTGCCCATCAAGGCTAACCTCCTCCTCACACCTAGTAGTACTGACACCGCGCATCAGGTACTCGGTTTTAGTTCTACTAAGCCTAAACCCTTTCGATTCCAAGGTTTGTCTCCATAACTCTTACTTCCTATTTACCCTCGTCCGACTATCGTCAACTAGCACCACATCATCCGCAAAGAGCATACACCATGAGATATCTCCTTGTATATCCCTTGTGACCTCATCCATCACCAAGGCAAAAAGATAAGGGCTCAAAGCTGACCCCTGATGCAGTCCTATCTCAATTGGAAAGTCATCAGTGTCGACATCACTTGTTTGAACACTTGTCACAACATTATCGTACATGTCCTTGATGAGGGTAATGTACTTTGCTGGGACTTGTGTTTCTCCAAGGCCCACCACATGACATTCCGCGGTATCTTATCATAGGCCTTCTCCAAGTCAATGAACACCAACCTCCCAGGCATGAAACCAAACTGATTTTTGGTCACGCTTGTCATTCTTCTTAAAGCGGTGCTCAATGACTCTCTCCCATAGCTTCATTGTATGGCTCGTCAGCTTAATTCCACGGTAATTAGTACACCACTGAACATCCCCCTTGTTCTTGAAGATTGGTACCAATATACTCCGTCTCCATTCTTCGGGCATCTTGTTTGCCCAAAAAATGAGGTTGAAAAGCTTGGTTAGCCATACTATCGCTATGTCCCCGAGGCCTTTCCACACCTTAATGGGGATATAATCAGGGCCCATCGCCTTGCCTCCTTTCATCCTTTTTAAAGCCTCCTTGACCTCAGACTCCTGGATTCGCCGCACAAAATGCATGCTGGTCTCATCAAAGCCTCATTGAACAACTTGTGAAGTACTCCCGCCATCTATGCTTAATCTCCTCGTCTTTCTCCAGGAGTTGGTTTGCTCCGTCTTTGATGCATTTGACTTGGCCAATATCCCTCGTCTTCCTCTCTCGGATCTTGGCCATCTTATAGATGTCCCTTTCGCCTTCCTTCGTGCCTAACTGTTTGTAGATGTCCTCATATGCCTGACCCCTTACTTCACGGACAACTCGCTTTGCGGCCTTCTTCGCCATCTTGTACCTCTCTATGTTGTCTGCACTCCTATCCAGGTATATGCGTCTGAAGCAATTTTTCTTCTCTTTAATCGCCTTCTGGATATCATCATTCCACCACCAGGTATTCTTATCTTCGCTTCTCCTTCCCCTGGACACTCCAAACTCCTCCGAGGCCACCTTACGAATGCAAGTCGCCGTCTTCATCCACACATTGTCCGCATCCCCTCCTTCCTCCCAAGGGCCCTCCTTAATGACCCTCTCCTTGAACGCCTGAGCTACCTCCCCCCTTGAGCTTCCATCACTCCGTTCTAGCGACGTTGGCACGCTTATCCCGCTTGACACGAATCCGAAAGCGTAAGTCAACAACCAACTTATGCTGAGGTACAACACTCTCTCCAGGTATCACCTTACAGTCTAGGCACACACGCCTGTCTTCTCTTCTCGAGAGGATGAAATCAATCTGGCTAGAGTGTTGGCCACTACTAAAAGTCACCAGATGTGATTCTCTCTTTCTAAAGAGGGTGTTAGCTACAATCATGTCATAGGCTAGAGCAAAGCGTAAGACATCTTCTCCTTGATTCCTGATGCCATAGCCAAAGTCCCCATGTGCCCCTTCAAAACCTGTGTTAGATGTAACCACGTGGCCATTGAGGTCTCCTCCTATGAAGAGCTTCTCGCCGATCGGTACACTCCTAACCATGTCTTCCAGGCCTTCCCAGAACTCCCTCTTGGTGTTCTCATTGTGGCCTACTTGCGGGGCATACACGCTGATAACATTGAGAACTAAGTACCCAACTACCAGCTTGACCAGGATAATCCGATCCCCACGTCTCTTGACGTCTACCACTCCATACTTGAGGCTCTTGTTGATCAAGATGCCTACGCCATTTCTGTTTACAGCTGTCCCTGTGTACCACAACTTGAAGCCGGTATCCTCTACCTCCTCCACCTCCTTTGCCTTCTGTCCCCTCCATTTGGTTTCTTGGACGCAAAGGATATCAACACCTTTCCTCACCGCTGCATCAACTAGCTCCCGAAGCTTCCTTGTTAGGGACCCTACGTTCCAGCTACCTAAGCGAATCCTGCTAGGCTCGGCTAGCTTCCTTACCCTTCGCACTCGTCGAGTCAAATGCGAAGACCCTTGCTCATTTTCCACTACATCGGGGCGCCGATGTAGCGCTCCACTAAGGGTGCGACGACCCGATCCTCGCTCACTTGCCACCGTATCCGGATCAAGATACGGTGCGCAACCAGGGGGGGTGACAGCCTGGCCCTTGCCCATTTGCCACCACACCCGGGTTCCGATGTTGCGTGTCGCTGAGAGGGTTATGCCCCAATGAAAATCTTTTGGGTTTTATCTCCATAAGAGTGGCTGAGTTTTTCCGTTGGCTCGCCAAGCCTATCACAACCCTCCTCTACCCGGGCTTGGGACCGACTATGTTGAGACAACATAGGCGGAGTTCCAACATGGCCACTAAGATCACTTGAATTGAGGTCTCTGATCAGTTTGTCAGGCCATGGAGACTACAGCACCTGCTCCTGACCTGCCGCTTTGCTCGTCAGACTTGGCATATCATCCTTGACTGGTTGCATATTCCGGTCCAAATTCCAAATCAGGAACCCAAAGTCATGGAGTGGTGGCTGCGCGCGAAAGAGCTCACGCTGCCGGCGAATGAGAAGGCCCTCAAGTCCATCACGCTTCTTGTACCCTGGATGTTATGGAAGCACAGGAACGCGTGTGTCTTTGACAACGCCACATCATCCATCGAATCGTTAGTGGATAGGATCAAGGATGAGACCCGATGTTGGGCAAAGGCTGGAGCCCAGGGGCTTCGGGTTGTTCTGCCCACAACCTGGGACGTCCATTGATAGTATGCATGACACTGCTCACCTCCTAGGAGGCCTGTTCTACCTTTCCCATGAAATGAAATGCAAAGGTCCTTTGTGTTTTCTCGAAAAAGTTTGTCACGTAGAGAACTTCTTGGATGCGCAAACAATCATTTTTGAAGAGATAGCCATCTTGCACCAAATAGTCGTCACCTAATGGCTGTATGTGCTTTACCCAAACATGGCCAAAGTCTTCGTCACCTGCCTGGAATTTCAACCTCAAAAGAAATCAAGAGACATGCACGACAACTCAAAGCATTGGCTACTCGATTGGTTGCTCCAGATTTATGCACAATGAGATAGTTAAACCTCTCCGGATATGTTGTCCATCTTGCTATCATATGATCAACATGCTTTTGATTTCGAAAATGCTTCAAGGATTGATGTTCAGTGTAAACGATGAGCTCTTTAGGCAGCAAATAGACTTGCCACGTTTTTAAAGCTTGAAAAACTGCATACAATTCTTGTTGACAAGTACTCCATTTCTGCCTAGCTTCACTTAACTTCTCACTAAAGAAAACAACGAGCTTCCTTTCTTGAGATAGGACAGCTCCAATGCCTACTCTATTTGCATCACACTCCAACTCAGAAGCCTTGTGGAAATCAGGTAGCACCAAGACAGGAGCTTGTGAGAGTTTTTGCTTGATCTTATTGAAATTAGCTTCAGTCGCTTCTGTCCATTGGAACTTTCCCTTCTTTAGACACTCGATAATTGGTGCCATGACAGTGCTGAAATTCTTCACAAATTGCCTGTAGAAAGTTGCAAGGCCACGAAAACTTCTTACATGTCCACTCCTTTCTTGATCCACCTGATAGTGTAGGGATTTGGATAATCATGAGTTTCAATATTTAAATGGTTCACCAAATTCTGCGAGATAAGATTCTTGCAGGTGCAATTATCAATCACCGACTTGTGCATTTGCCCTAAAATATTTTCTTCCGTTGTTTGTCATTAGGTTGTGGCGTGGAACAAAGGAGACGCTGAATCACACATACCACCTGTTCACCTTTCTTCTTGACAAACCTCTTCTTACCCTGTACATCTTCAGATTCGTATTCTTCCCCATTGTCTTCATCATCATGGATAGCTGTGTTAACAAATTTCCTCAGTGGGCAACATTGACTTCTGATTCCCTTTTTCTTTTCCTTCTCTTTATTGTTCCTCATCAATACAACATTGCCTCCTCTCGCTGCATGCAAGGAATTAATGACCAAGCCGAACAGTTGCTGCGGAGAGCCTCACACATGCAGGAGAGAGGAAGTGCGTTGCTCGTGGATCTAATAGACTTAGCATAAACTCGAGATATTCACTGCATCAGTTACAGTTAGATAGTGGTGTTCTCGTCCAACATTGTATTCATCTGCTCCCTCTTTGGTCTATGTGCAAAAATTCCTGCGGCACGTATTGTGGGACGAAGGGAGTAGCAAACACCCATCCTTGCTAAGCAAGGCTAGAGTTAGGCTGGCCTAGAATCCAAGCACACCCAAAGATAGTTCCGTAAGGGTCTGGGTATTGTCAATGAGTCAAGAACGACGACTTGGTCTTTCTCGCCCAAAATGCCTAATCCAAGTCTGTCTCCCCTTACCAACGCCATAATCCTCTACGTTTACGGGCTTTTTCCAAATGGTAGTTGTCCTGATGGCAAGAATGTTTACACGAGTATGTTTCTGTTTTCCACATCTTTGCAAGCAGTTTCCAATTGTTGACACATTTTGGAAAATATTATTTTGTGTAACAGGTATAAATTTGATGACGAGCGTGTAACAAAAGAAGATACTAAAAAGGCCTTTGAAGAGCAGTATGGGGGTGAGGAAGAGGTATGTTCCATTTCACACCGATATTGAACAATTAATGTTTGTTCTACTCATCACCATCATCTACATGGCTCTCTCTTTTTGATTATGAAGTTACCTCAAATAAACCCTGGATTCAACAACACTCCATTCAAATTCACGAAGTATTCAAATGCCTACATGCTTGTATACATCCGTGAGAGTGACAAAGAGAAAATAATGTGTAATGTTGATGAGAAGGACATTGCTGAACATTTAAGGGTATGTAGAATATTATATTTCCCCCATCAGTTTTGAAAACACTACTTCATTGTGGTATATTTGAATGATGAATGTGGATTCACAGATAAGGTTGAAGAAAGAACAAGAAGAGAAAGAACATAAGAAGAAAGAAAAAGCTGAAGCCCATCTCTATACCATCATAAAGGTCAGGATCTGCTTATTGTAGTGTTCATCATAGCTTGGATTTTCCTTTTGAGTTTGTTGCTCACAGAGCTTCTTTTGAAACTGTATCCAGATTGCCCGGGATGAGGATTTAAAGGAGCAAACTGGTAAGGACATATATTTTGATCTGGTGGACCATGAAAAGGTCCGTAGCTTCCGAATACAGAAGCAATTGCCATTTAGTACTTTCAAGGTAACATGTCCCTGGAACTCCATGCAAGTTGTTATCGTTGCTAAAGATTAGTAATTTGTAATCTAACTGCTACAAACTGTTTAATAGGAGGAAGTTGCAAAGGAATATGGCATCCCAGTACAGTTTCAGCGCTTCTGGCTGTGGGCTAAGAGGCAAAACCATACATACAGACCAAATCGCCCATTGAATCCTCATGAAGAAACACAATCTGTAAGTTAAATTGTTGGAAAGTGAAGCTTTAATCTGTTATCTCATTTTGGTTGGCTTAGGTCCAGTTGACTATTCTGATCGCGGGGTTAGATCTACTATCAATGCAGTATGCTTTGCTGTGACATAATATAGAACTCTTACGAGGGGAATAACATAAACAATGTGAAAATATGTAGTCATTCCAAGGACTCGCCCAACTTCCAAATGGCGCTCATTTTTTGGATTTACCACCAACCAAACTTAAAATTACAGCAGTGTGTAGTGTGCGGATACTTGGGAAAAAGCAAGACCTTTATAGTTTGGAGTTGTTGAGTGTACAGCATTGTATAGTTTTTCTTCAGTGTGTTCTATTGTATATTTGTTCATAAATTTCGTTGCGCAAAGCTGGTTATTTCCAAGAACCAATTCAGTAGCTCAATCCAGTGTGCTTAATTGTTTAGATTACTTTAGAAAAAATTGTGAGAACAATGTAGAATCTTGTTGTGTTGCTTACATTTTGTTATCTTTCTATCAGCTTTGCTTCAATTATGTGCCAATAGTCCAATCACTATGTTTTCTTCTGCACAGGTGGGGCAACTGAGGGAGATATCAAATAAGGCACAGAATGCTGAACTGAAGCTGTTTTTGGAAGTGGAATTTGGACTGGTAACTGGAGTTGCTCGCTTCCTTTTCTGTATGTTATTTATTTTAGAGTATGTCTTGGACAGGATTCAGGTTGCTTAATTACATCTGATTACTGATGTAGGATTTGCAGCCTCTTCCTCCTCCCGAGAAGAGCAAGGAAGATATTCTTCTTTTCTTCAAACTGTACAATCCCGAAAAAGAAGTGCTTTGGTAAATTCTCTTTGAATTGCCCTCTTCACCATCCTTTCATATATATAACTGTAAATTTCCTTATGCTTACATGTTACATTCGTCAACCGGTGTAGTTTTGTGGGGCGGTTCTTTGTAAAGGCCTTGGGGAAACCTTCAGATATTTTGAGAAAACTAACTGAAATGGCTGGGTTTACCCCGGATGAAGAGATCGAGCTATATGAGGCAAGTGTTAAATCGACGATTTGATACATTTATACATTCAAAGTCAAGATGTCAAAGCTTAAAGTTTTCTCTGCTTTACTTACAATAGTCATTTTGAGGTTTATCAAGTTAAATGGTGATAACCTTACATGACGATTGTACTTGAGTCGGTTCAATTTTTAATGCAGGAAATTAAGTTTGAGCCAAATGTAATGTGCGAACATATTGACAAGAAGCTTACTTTCCGTGCTAGTCAGGTTTGTCAACAGTGTTTCTTCGATTTGAGAAATGCAGAACTCGAATTAAACTGCTTACTTATTAATTCCCCAAATTCCACAATATTGCTAGCTTGAAGATGGGGACATAGTCTGTTTCCAAAAGTCACCTAAAGCAGACAGTGGTACTCAAGTGCGCTATCCTGACGTCCCTTTGTTTTTGGAGTATGTTCATAATAGGCAGGTATAGCATAATATGCTCAACTCATTTTTCTGTTTTATATGCTATTATGCTATGTTGGTCATTCCCAGGAAAGCTTTCGAGTTACTTGCAGCTTTCTTTTTCTCTTCACTTTGACTAAGATATAATACTCCCTCCCGGTTTATAAGGCTCACGCCTATCCCTATAGATCAACAATTCGACCAATGTAATACGAATTGTATATCAGGTGGGCCTTACAAACCGGAAAGGAGGTAGTAATACCACTGTTAAGTTCCTTTGGGACGGGGATCACTATATGCCATAAAGTTCTTGAACAATGTGTAATTGAACAATAGGTAAAACTGTGTCTATCATAGCTTCCCACAGAACTTGTTTAAGGTCGCTATATATATATATTGGCAATTTAGACCATTTGCTGTCATGGTGTCCTGGCGAGACCAATCAATGTGATTGCCAGGGTGCCTATGCATTACTGGAGTTGCTTATGTCCCTTGGTAGGAAGGGAAGGGGTGTGTAGAAAGAAGCAAAGGGTGGTGGTGGTGGAAGAGAAATCTGTGACGTGAAGGCGTCGCTGGGCCAATGAAATTTCCATAGTAAATGTAAGCGAAGGGAGTAAGATCATGCAGCACTGCCCACTTGAGGCTAGTCGGAGGGTATTGTTAGGGCCATAGTTGCCTGATTCGCAATTCGTGATTCGCTACCTCATACGAATCGGATTCGCTGGGGGTATACTTCTCGGATTTGCGAATTGGAAATTGGGTTAGTGAATTGAAACATTGGAATTCGCTGAACATGTTTGTCACAAAAGATTCAAGCTTGTACAAATATGTACAAAAAAAAAGAGAAACTGAGAGACAACAAGCACTTGCTCACCGCTTGTCTAATGGGCCAAAGCTCATCAAGTGAACAGCTAGGGCAGTATGTCACTAAAATTCCCCTCGAGTTCTTCCCATCCCCTACCTTTTACAGCGTCGCCACTTCTATGCAGGCCAACATTCTCTTCCTCTCACCCTTTGTCCTTGGTCCTCAGCTCCCTTTGCCACCATTTTCTTCTTGTGCAGGCCAGGGTCCTTTTCCTCTCTCTTATCCTCTCAAGCACAGGCACGCTCAGCCCAACCCTAACCATATACCAGCTGCCGCCCTGCCCTGTTCTGCCACACTTCTCCAAACATGCATTGCTGGGTGGCTGGCGCACCGTGGGTTCCTTCCCTTCAACGAATTGGGGAGCGAATTGTAACCGGAGCTATCTCGAATTCCGATCTGAATCGATCGATCTAGATCCGTGTTCAGCGGCTTGTTAGTGAATCCGGTAACTATGGTTAGTCGTACCCACCCCCCCAAAAAAAACCATGCGAGAGGAGATGCTTGCAGGATTAGAGGGAGGCGAGGGCAATGGTAATTCTGCTGTGTCTCTCTCAAACCGATGCCCCTCCAGGTAATAGCTGCAGGGACACACAGTTGGCGAGCTGGTGGTGCTGTGACAAGAGTCACACGACTGCTTTAGACGATCTTTTGTTGATGCAACACCTGAAGGGAAAAGTGATGTTGGCATTCTAATCTTCTGTACTCGCTTTCATCAAGAAAATACTCATATGGCATGCCAACTTCTTAATCCAGCCAGCCCTAGCTGTTTCTACTCTATTTATAGAATTCCGTTAAATATTCTTAGCCAGGAAGTTATTTCTATATGAGAAAGTTATCCCGTAACTGGCCTTAGGCCAACTTGAGATAAGATATCTACTTAGAGATGATATTTGTTTAGATGTGGTTGATAGGGCACATAATTTTTTTGGTATGGAAGAATAATCGCAATCTATCTCCCGTCTACTTTATCCTCCTAATTCCATATCTAAACGCTGATCCTGATCAGCCGTGACGCCTGGCGGCATTTTGACATAATATGACTTGATATTTTTCAAGGGAAAGAAGATGAGACCATGATGCTACTCTCTCCGTCCCAAAATAAGTGTCTCAACTTTGTACTAATTCTTTGTACTAATTCTAGTACAAAGTTGTACTAAGCTTGAGGCAGTTATTTTGGGACGGAGGGAGTATTACCTCTGATCTGTTGGCCAAGGGCATTGGCTGCGCTGAGTTTGGTTGAGTTCTGGTGGATACAAGTGATGGTGATGTGCAGATCTGCAGTGGATCAGATTTCGCCAGTCTTAGGGCAACTCCAACGCAGATCACCAAAACGTCTGCGGACAGGGATAGGGGTGGAGGCCATCCAACTGCAGGCACCAAATGTCCATTGCCAGTTTTTTTTCTGTACCCATACTACTCAAAACAATTAAAGATAAATAGCACAATCTTAAGCAATGGAAAGATAAATACTCTAATGCAACAATAATTCAAATAAAAATAGTACAACCCATAGTCATCAGAATTGTAGGAACGAACCTTTGCCTCATTGAACTTGCGGTTTTTCTTGCCTGAGCTTTGGCCTCCTTCATTCCTGTTGAACATGGACTCCCGCTCAGTGCGGGTCAGCAGCAAGTGCTCCTCGCGAGCATCACCGATTTCTCCTAGACACTCCTCATGTGCCTTCAATCGTCCAATAATCTCTTCCACCGTCATGGTTTTAAGGTCACCAAATCGTCCAATAGTCGAAGTAATTTGGAGAAACTTGTTGGTGATGGCGCGAAGGAACTTCTTGATTGCAGAAGTCTCCTTGAACTTCTCGCTGAGTGCCCTGATCTTGTTGATGATGGTCATCAACTGGGCAGCAAAATCGTTAACCGACTCCGACTCCTTCACGCGCAACCACTCAAATTCTGTCTTGAGAGTCCACGTGCTCAGATGTGCAGTATCTTCATGGCCTCCCAAATCGCCTTGGTTGTCTCCTTTTTGGCCACCAGGAAGAGCATGCCCCTTGTATCCCTTGGTAATGGCTGCCAATGCCATTTGACCCTTCTCATCCGTGGGCACTTTAGGATCTTTTGGCTCGACAGAATCCCAAACCCTTTGGGCACACATGGACACCTTCATCTTGATTGACCATGCCAAGTAGTTGCTCTGTGTGAGCATAGGGTATTGAAGGGAAACAATAGCTCCTTTATCCATACCTCACTCAAGCTAATAAACCTGGCTCTGATACCAATTTTTAGAACCACTAGCTCTAGCTCTAACAGGACTTGAGCTCTAAAGGGATGTGCTTCACACGCACGTAGACAAAGAGCTACTACTAGTAGGAAACTTTATTCGATATCTCAAGTGCTACAAGCTTAGTATTAGAAGCAGGATAATTGTCGTTTTATAGGACCATACAAACCGGCTATGGTACCTTTCCTAACAGCTAGCTGGGACAGCTCAGTGCAAGCTTTTACTACTGTCTAGGTACTACTGCTGTCTCTCTGTAGCTCAAAATCAAATAAGACTGCTTTTTACTGGTGACAGCTATTGATGAGGAACACTAGATGAGGAAATATAAAAATAAAATCGCATGTCAGACTAGCAAACATGCGCCCGTGCGTTGCACCGGGAGAAAAAATGACTACTCATACACACAGCCGATGGCATCAACAAATTCCTTGAAATCTTTCATGATGTTGCATGACAAACAACAAGATAAGTGGTGTTGTGCAAAAACATAAAGTTGGAATGATTTTTACTGTACTCAAGGTGTTTTTAATTTATTAGATAACCAAAATATCTACCTAGTCGCAGTTATCTTTTTATGCCTTTGTTGTTGTTCCTCCATAGTGATTCCCAACAAATAGCCTTTGTTGTTGTTCCTCCATAGTGATTCCCAACAAATATTGCATTAGGATAAAAATAGAGAATACATTTTAGTATTCAACGATAACTTGTGCATACGAGCATTATTTTTTCTTGCTGATGTATGCGTTTATAATTGTAATCTAAGTCAAGATTTAATTTAGTTGCAAACATATTAGTAGTTTAGTGTTGCAAACATATTAGTAGTTTAGTGTAAATCATCGTATCTGGGTCGGTTATTGTGCATTGTGCGAAATAGAGAGGATAATTGTATACTTGTTGTCAAGGTTGTCAGAATCGTGATTTTGAATCGGATCGGAGCTTCGATGGTAGGATCGCAAATCATAGAATCTTCACTATCAGAATCGTATAAACGTAGCTTCTAAGAACTAAAATCGTAGAGTCATAGGGGTTAGTTTGAATCGTAAAGTCATAGAATCGTATAACAGAATCACGATTCTGACAACCTTGCTTGTTGTAACCTTTAGCATATGGTAGCTGATTGGAATCAACATCCCCTTTGATGCTAATAATAGCGTTTGTGCCAATTTAAATGGTATAGGAAGATATATAATAGTCATTTTCAAAATACCCTATATAAAGAAAGTATTAATTAAGATTGCATCCTAAATCAAATTTTAGAAATGATTAACATGCAAGATGATAGCATAATTGGAATCTACACATTTTTCTGAGAAAATTTCAAATATAATATGCTAGATTTCGAGTTAGGACTAAAAAGATACGAATGTTTTAAAAAGTATTTGAATATGCTCGATAAAAAAATTAAACAAAAAAGTGCACTCACCTGGGATCGAACCCAGGTCTATCGGGTGGAAGGGTTGCACCCTAGCCATTGGACCGCTTGCATGCTAGTAGCAGATTTGTGGGCCGCTGGCTAATAAACCTTGTTCGGTGCAGCGACTTGTAAAAAGAAAAGAAAACATTTTTTTGACTTATGGGTGGCATAGTGGGTAATTCGTGGCAACTTCGGGGGCAAATTTCATGACGTACCGCTAGAAGCAGTAGCCCCTTTATTATTATGTAGAGATTTGTTTGGCTGCTTATACTCTAGTGTAGTCTTTCTTTTCTTTACTCTACCTGCTGTTTCTAGAGTTCTCTAGTTATAAGTAGCTGTGAGTAAAATGGTGAATCCTAAATAATGTTTTCTACAGTGTTCTAGCTATAAGTAGAAGAATGTGAAGGCTTCCCAAAGCCCTATAAATAGAGGTCCTCACGTCTACTTTTAGCAATCACTTCAAAAGGAGTCAGACACCCGCTTTCGACGCCGGGTGGGAGAGGGG